CTTATGTTCCTGAGAGACTCTAATCACACAATTAAAAACTTCGAGCCTGTTGAAGCTCAAGAATGTCGTAACATAGTAAAAGACCGGATATATAAAGACCAAAAACTTCACGAAGTTGGTCATGGTGTGTTCGCAACTGACGAACCCACACATAATCCAGGCCGGTCATGGTCCTTCACTGAATGCGTACAAAGGCCACGTATCATTCTAGAAAGAGGACATATGACTAGGATGCCAGACGATTCTATCTTATCAGACCCATTCTCAACACTGATGGATGCTTAGCACATCATAGAGAATGTAAATCTGATACATCAGTGGTCATCTGGGTATCACAAGATTATGATAGAAGGTGTGACTACATCCATCTGAATAAGTACGATGCAGTAATAGGAGATAGCCCAATTGTTATCCCTAGCACACAGACGGCGTTAGTTATCACAATTGACAAAATCCTTAAGGCTATTCGATCATGTTTCTCCGGTTCAGTGTTTCATACGACTACAGACAATTACATTACATTGCCAAAGTTTCCAAATAACGAGGATATTCACGAACTTATTAAGCAAGAGTTCGCGAAGATCCCGAAAAAGATTCGTACAAAACGGGATATAACCAAAGGAGAAAGACCGTGTACGTTCGATTCCAATAAGATATGGATGGAACAATTCCCAAATTACAACAAAGGTCCACTATTCGCCTGCCCATATCCCTTTCTACGTCCAGTTCTCAGCTATCCTGGGATAGCTCAGATTCGAGAAGAAGTCAAACGAAGAAGGCTAATTGATAATTCATATAAACTGACGGATTTTGCAAAGCAACGACCTCTGGAGATAGAGTTCATCACCAAGCAGTTGCCTAAAATGGAAGAAATTGAAGAGTTTCTTGTCAGATATGATTACGCTGACGTTGAAGAAGTATTTATTCAGTATTATACATACAAAGAATTAATTGAAACAACGAAGCTAGCAATTTCGTATCTAAGCAACGACCAATTGATAATTATGATATCACAACGTCTCACGTTCGAAAATTTGATCCAACTTGCCAAGCCATCAGGAGAAACGTACCGGAAAAGGACAAAAGCTGTAGCTTTCAATCTAGCTACATCGCGTCACCCAATTACCGCATTCCAGTCGGTACCTTCAATCGACGAAGTCCCCCAGGCGTTCATACATGCGAAGCCTGTGAGAGGCGAATCCAAGAATCCAAATGTCCTTAGAACCATATCGCGAAAATTCCTAGAATTAGAAGAAGAATTACGGTTAATAACAGCAAAAGACAAACATAACACAGAAAAAATCGATGGTGTTGCCGAGCAAGCCTGCCGTTCACGAAAACCAAGCGTCAGCGGCAGAAAAGATCGATAAGACGGCAACCATCCAGAGCATATTCGGAAGAAGAGAACGGAATACAGATCATCTACGACAGTAAGGACAATGAAGAATTAGAAGAAGATGATCCAAACGATCCATCATATGTCCCTTCCCGAACTTTCCGACACTAGTTTAACAACCAGCCATCTTGAGTAGCATTAAGTAACTTTATCCCGTAAACCAAAAACTAATTTACAAAAACTGACATTTTTTTTCTCTTTTTTTTAAATCAACTGAGATAAGAAGAGATGAAAATGAGAGATACTTCACATTACAGTAGAGACATTCGTGCTGTAAGGTTGAGTTCATGAGGATGTTGAGAGCGACTGCAAAGCCACATTTCCCCTTCCATCTTCGGAAGCGTGGTATCTCAAACCAACAGATGATTCGTTTCTGAACCAAACTTACAGACAAACCCTCATAAGTATCAATCTATCTCATAAACTGAGAATTTCATCTCAATTCTCGCAATTTTTCATATTCTACTCATTTCAGTTCTTTACCATTACAAGAGTCTTTGTGAATCAGTTTTAACAAACCTAACTTTAAAAAACAAGATTGGCTTTAACAAAATAATACGATCGTAAAAATTATTTAACAATTTTTTTTTAAACAATAATCATGTTCTATAATGTAAAGTCTACATGCCATTCGAAAATATACAAACATAAACCACCTTTGCGAGGACGCAAACTTCTCAAAAGGGGGGGAGGCACGGTCCATTTGGAATACATGGCATGGAAACTATGCAATAGCCCGAGAACCAGAGTAAGATATACACGCAGAGTGTCTATATTTAAGCAGCGAGAGCTCGTTCTAGACGAGACTCTTCGTACGTCCACATCTAGAGCTATACAGTAGACTCTATGTAAGACCCGAGTAAAGAGATCTCCCGAGTATACCTCACGGTATACTCATATCCTTTTATCATGTATAACCTTAGTGACGTTCTTAAGTATGATCATGTTGTAAGTAACCCATAGATATCCCGCTGTATATCTTTATCATGAACTCTGTGCTATTGTAATCTA